ATTCTCCCCCAAACACATGCATTTTATTTTAACTGATAATACTTGATATAATATTGGGATTGTGCATTGTTTTTTGCTTGTGGGCGATCACGCATGCATTTGACTTTCAGGTTACATTGTGGGTAGAGGGACAGGAATGGATTGAAAGAATATAAAGTGCAGGGGGAGAAAAGGTCAGATGGCCAAGTCAAAGAGAAAGAGCTTCCTCCAGCCTGTGCTGTTGAACCCCAACTTCTAGTGCTCGCTCTGTGTGATCTTAGGCAAGTCACTTTACCTTTCTGAGCCTCTGTTTGTCCGTGGTACAAAAGAGGTTATAATTTCTGCTGCTTTGCACTCCACGGGAGGTCAGCTGATCTCACACCTGGGAAGGTACTTTGGACAAAAGAATTTAGGGTATTGTCTCAACAGGCAGAGAGGTGGCTCCTATCACCAGGCCAGCTAGATGGGCTTTCTGCTTTAAGATTCAAACATGACTTGGATGAAAAGGCGGGAAGGCTGAGTTCCCAGCATCATAGAATATGAGAGCTGGCAGGTATCTTAGAAACCATTCTATTTCAACCCCCTCATTTTTCCTGAGTACGCTGAAGCAAGGAGAGCTGATTTCCCCCAAGATCCCCCTGCACGGAGCCTGGATTCCGGGTTCCCTTTTCACTGTGCCCCACAAGGCAAAGTTAATTCGCCTTAAAAAGCAAAGTTCATTTGCTCTTCTTACTGTTTATAGACAAGAAGCCTCTGGCCTGTGTCCCAGCAAGGAAGCTATCAGGACATTTGTCTGAGTCTTTTTGAGTTTCTAAAATTTGACCCACCATTTTGGTTCAATTATTGCTTGCCTTTTTTTTAACCTATGGGGACAACAATCTCCTAGTGTTTGTCTAGTGCCTACTGGATTTGCCACTCCCTAGGTGCTGTGATGGGGGGGTGGTTAGAAAAGATTAAGACCCATCCCCTGCTGTCAAAGATGTGAGTGTGGGGGACAGGACTAACAATGAGAAAACAATGGGAGGCAGTATGTGATTCAGGATAAAATGAGTAGTGCAGGCAATAACTGCTATAGAAGTTCAGAGGAGGGAGAAAGCTCTGGGAGCTGGGGGAAAAAGCAATATCACATGCGATCTGAAGGCTGGGTAGGATTGTTTATGCAGGTGTGGGGGAGGGCACTAAATTTCAGGGTGTATGCCCGTATGTACGCAAGCACACACAGATGCAGAACTGGGTAACAATAACGGGTAGCATTTACTGAGCATTTATGTCTATGCACCAGATACAGCATAATGTCGTATATAATTCAACGCATTTCCAAGTGCGTAATCCTAGGAATTAGATGATAGTCAATTCAATTAATGGAAGTTGAGGCACAGAGAGGTTGCATCGATTGCCCAAAGGGACACAGCAAGTAAATGGGATTACAGGCCTGGGCCAAAAACACTTGGCCCTTCTACCTATAAAAAAGAGGAATTTGTGACTCAGATGAGGAAGTTAGCCGGACTGTAGTCACTAAAGACTTTCGTTTTGCAAACACAGGACCCTGTAGGCCAAACTGCCAACTGAAGTTCAGCAGGAAAATTGGAGGGATTAATGAAGCCATTTACTGAATTCTATAATCTCATTCTTACTTCCTGGAAGCGAGGAACTTGAGGTCTCCAGATGCTGCAGGTCATTGCCGGGAGCACCACAACTTTACCCTTCTTGTTTCTTGGTTATGTTGCAGAGGATTTAACAAAACACCTAAGGAGAATGAATGAGCTGTTCTTTATTAATTAGCACTTGAAAAGCATTGGGCCTCTGGTGGATGCCATACAGAGCTTCGAATTAGATAAAGCCACCTGGCCCTGAAGCTCTATTTGTGGGGAAAACCAGGCTTGGAAAGGATAGGAGGACCATGGCCTGATAATACAGTAGATTGTATTTTATGTTTTGAGTCTGGCTTGCCGCCAACACCCGAAAGTGTTTTCTAGGCAAAGTGCCTGACTGTGTTTTTCTGGATATTCTCCTAACTCACTGTGAGTCTTCAATAAATGTTAAATCACTGTGAGGTAGATTCTGAGGTCCCTTTCCTGTTTCCTTGTCCCAAGAGAATCAAACCACAGACGGGGGGTAGAGGCAGCGAAGAAGAGGGGACCTTGCTCCAATCAGCCGCTCTTTTCCCATTCTTGGGCCCCTCCACACCCCCACTGTCCTGGCTGGCCTTCAGGGGCACTTCCCTCAGCCCCGTGAATGCGGGTTGGAAAGCAGCTGGTCCCCTATAGGGACAGGGGAGGGGAAAAGGTTGGGGGAGGCATCTTTTCCTGCAGCAAGTCTAAGGTGTAGGGCAGGGCGGGAGAAAAAGGGAGGAGGGCCAGGGGAGGGAGTGGCCGTGGCCTGGGGTAAAGGGAGAAAAATACCCGAGCAGAGCAAGGAAAAGAAGGAAAAGAGGCCTCCATCGTCAGGCACTGAAACCGCGAGTGGGACTGGGGCGACAAAGGCAAGGGAAGAGGACATCCTGGTCCCGCAGGAGTCTCCTTTCAGGGCAGAAAGGAGGAGACGCGCCGAGAAGGTCACAGCCATGCAAACACCCCGAAGGAAAGCTGGCACAGCGGCTCAGCATTAGTCAGGCTTCTTCATTCCCCATGAGCTTGGTGAGGGCCCGCTGAGCTCCTACTATGTGCTCGGTGGACACAGACGCGCCCGGGGCAACGGGATCGCGGGAGCCGGAGTCGGCCAAAACGGCTTCCCTGAGGGGGCGGACTGTGTAGACGGGCGGTGAAGGAAGGTGGATGTGCACGCGTGCAGGCTCGAGGAGTGCAGAA